TTGTAACTAGTTATTTTTTGGGGAGTAACTGTAATATTATTACTACTTTTGCTATTAGTTAATAAATACTATTACTATTATTATTACCGGTACTAGTAATGCGTTGCTGCCCAACACTGGTAATATGTATTTTATTAATAAGATTATTACAAATAATCAGCTTGTGTCCCATGTCATGGGAAACTCTACTGTGTGTAATAGTTTAACTAACTATAACATATTTCTTTATCCAAAAGTCAGTTAAACACAGAATAAAACACAAATATAAACAAATTCTTTCACCCTGATTTTTATGACAGTAAGGTAATCAGCTGATCCCTGTGCTGTGTGACAGAACTGATTTACAGTAATTAGTGGTAGAAAGCCTCTCAGTTTCTTCCAGCTCTGCCCAGAAGCAGCAGATGTCAATTTACACAATGCCACAATTCAAACCTCCGGTGCAAGTAGCAAAAAGTTCTACATGTGTACCCAATGCCTGGCTCATTTTCTTTTGACTCTCCAGCCTTCCTGTATCAGGAATATCGGGACACCTCCAAACAGCAGGAGATTGAGCAACGGCGGCAACTAGAGAACCTTCCCCCTGGGGTCACAGCAGGGACTGTGGTTTCAGGATCTGTCACGTCTCCCCCAACATTACAGCTGCAGCTGAGGAACAGCTCTCGCTCACTGAGCTTGTGGCAGAACCTGGATGTTGTGCAGGCCAGTGGTCTGCTCACCCAGCTGCTGCAGAAAGAAGTCATAATGCAAGAGGTAAGCAGTTGTGTGAGGGTGACTTGTTATTTGGATCGATACACCAATGCAAGAGGTAAGCAAGACCAGAAAGGTTTCAGAATTTAGGTGAAGCTGCCTCAGATAGAAGAACAATGAGTGTAATGGGTGTAGGGATCCACACTCAGTATTAATGTGTCCTTATAATTTGCTTTTCTGTCTAGGCCATGTTTGAGCTTGTTACCTCAGAAGCATCCTACTACAAGAGTTTGGAAATTTTAGAGACTCACTTCCTACATAACCCCATTTTGATCAACACTCTCAGCCAGTCCGACATGCATTTTCTCTTCTCCAACATCGAGGAAGTCATGAAAGCCAGTGAAAGGTAGGACACAACACAAATCAGTCTATGATCGAATGAAGGTCCAGTCCGGCAAAGAAGCTTTTGCTTCATACCCCTGGGTAATGGATGCTCTCTTAATATTTTCAGGTTCCTTATGGATCTTGAGCACCGAATTGAGAAGTCCATTTTGATTTCTGATGTGTGTGACATTGTTTACCACCACGCTGTGGAACACTTCAGTGTGTTCATCAAATACGTCATCAACCAGGTTTACCAGGAGAAGAACTACAGACGCATTTTGTGAGTACCTATTTTCTAAATACATCTTTTACAGTCTGGACTAGTAATGAGTTGAAAGTGTTTGTGCCCCTATTTAACAATGTATGCAAAAAATAAATACATTTCTTTGTATTCTTATATCCAAGTCTGATCAGCTTTTTCTGATCAGGTTTTTTTTTCTTTTACTTTTATAATCTTTATTTCCTGGTTCAGATGCTGGGTTTTCAATACAAACACTACCAAATAGGTATCACTGCTCTCTACTGGGTATTGCCTTTGATGTGTGATTGACATTTATTGGGCTGATTAGCGTTAAAGGTGGAGTCAGTCAGTCTGGAGAAAGCATGTTAATGTTTTAACTCAGCAGCCAAACAAATACACTCCTACCTTAAGTGCTCCCTTTAGACGCTCTGCCCCCTGATTTAATGGACGTGTCTTGCCACGAAACTTGTCCCGAATAGCCAAATATGACACGCTCAGCAAATAATAGATGCTCAGCTCGTCAGGGTGGGGCAACAAGGGACGGCCATACATCAGTGGGTTGACTGGGTACTCTACTAACTGCAGGGTTAGCGATTCGATTCCCCGGGTTCCCCTGTCCATCTGTCAAAGTGTCCTTGAGCAAGATACTAAACCCCAGGTTGCTCCGTGGGTGCCCACAGCTGCCTTCTCCTAGTGGATAGGATGGGTCAAATGCAGAGGACAAATTTCAATTCAATGTATGTAAATGCCATGCTGATGCTAAATACATTTCTTTGTATTCTTATATCCAAGTCTTATCAGCGTTTCTTCCACCCATCAATCTATCTTCAACTTTAAGCGACACGTGGCTTTCTGCTGGAGTGCCATGTTTCTGGTGGCCAGGCCTCATTGATTACTGTACAAGAACACAACTTTATCTCTGATTTGTGTGTCCATATTTTATGGAGAAAATATTTAAATAATTTCTGTTTTCCCTGCTCTGCCTCAAGTGCAACAGAACCATGGTCAGCGGCCTCCCAGGCCCCTTTTCCACCAAATTAATTCTGCTTCTTGAACTGGTTCCATTCAAGATTCTTGGAAACCATCATCATCAGAGGGCATTGCACAATGCACAGCAACCTCCTTTAGTTCCCAAGGTTCCAGCTGGGAACCAACCTTTTGGGTTCCAAACCAATTTATTTTTGGTCGAAATGCTCGGAACGGTTCTAACAGAGCCAGTTCCCTGTTGGTGTAAAAGGCACATCAGTGTATAGTCCCTCCCTATAGCTGTCTGTTTTTACAGGAAACCTGTAAATATGAGGAAGCAAACAGCACTCTGCTTTCTGTTTGATGTGGACAGCCATTTCCTGTTGAAGCCAGTGATGACAATTTATCTAAATATATTGTGATTTTTTTATATTGGACAGTATTTTTGTCTTAAAAAAGCAGTAAATTATAGAAAACAGCTGATCAGAACAATGGTGTGGCCTGCTCGACTACTAATGACAAATGCACGCTTGGAAAGAGAGGAACTGTGAGAAAGAATTAATATGCGTCATTTCTCAGACACTTCTGTTTTTTTAAGGCTATGAATGTCATCTCTTTTCAGAGGAGAACAGCTTTGTTTTTGAACATGACAAATGTGATGTGCAGGGTGTGGCTGACTATGAATATAATGCATTCGTCCCTCTTCATTAACCACATACCTGAGTGAGAGTATGACGTTCCCACGAGCTGCAGAGGGCAGGTGCCTCCGACAGGCAGACAATGAACGGGACCTCTGCCAGCTACTGGAAAAACCAACAAACAAAATGTGTTCTGGAAAAATCTCAAGGCCCGTGACTAGTTTATTTTGGAGATGCAGCACTAAGACAGTCAATGTATTGAATTTCATTGTTCATCTGCTGTTTAGATGTAAATGACATTATGCAAAGTCTATTCAGAAGGTTCATTGTAACAGTCAGATCACACTCATGAGGGTGTTAGGAGTGCCAAGCCTAATTACTTGTCACATAAAATCACATTAGTGGCTGAGCTCCAATGTAGAAATGTTTGTTATATCATCCTCTAGAGAGGACATGACAAAAGTGCAAAAAGCAGTGGCTAATTATTTTATGCTTGGGAGAAGAACAGCTGTTTTACTTCTCTCTCAGTTTTAAAGCACGTTTCTTCTTTATAAAAGCTGGTGGATTCTTAAGAGCTTTTCACTGCCATTCATTCCAGGACAGATTATTTACAGGCTGCATATCATAAAGCAAAGGCGATTTGCTCTATTAATTCACATTCACTAATAGAGGTACAAGGGGCAGCAACTTGTGTACATTTTCTCAGAACTCAGATGCATACCTAGATCCACCATACATGTTTAGGCCAGTTTACTAAAATTGTATTATAAAATGTATTATGAAATAGCAGGTTTCAATCAGTCTCTTAATGACTGTGAAGGATGTTGGATTGCTGTCAAGAAAGTCCAGAAAGACCAGAACCAATAATTCATTTATCCAAGTATCACCACAGTCAGAGCTACAGACCTCCATTGTTATTAATTAGCAATTAAGGGTACTGGAAACTCAAAGTTTTCAATAAGGAAACACTACCAAATAGGTATCACTGCTCTTCACTGGGTATTGCCTTTGATGTGTGATTGACATTTATTGGTCTGATTAACGTTAAAGGTGGAGTCAGTCAGTCTGGGGAAAGCATGTTAATGTTTTAACTCAGCAGCCAAACAAATACACTCCTACCTTAAGTGCTCCCTTTAGACACTCTGCCCCCTGATTTAATGGACGTGTCTTGCCAAGAAACTTGTCCCGCCCCTCCTCCACTGCGATTGGACAGCTGGATGAAAATGGACAGTGACAAGAGCAGCTTTTTTTTTCAATTCTGGGCGATTTTTTAACTCTGGACCACCAGAAAAAAAGCCAAATATGACACGCTCAGCAAAAAATAGATGCTCAGCTCCGTCAGGGTGGGGCAACAAGGGACGCCCATACATCAGTGGGTTGACTGGGTACTAACTGCAGGGTTAGCGATTCGATTCCCCTGTCCATCTGTCAAAGTGTCCTTGAGCAAGATACTAAACCCCAGGTTGCTCCGTGGGTGCCCACAGCTGCCTTCTCCTAGTGGATAGGATGGGTCAAATGCAGAGGACAAATTTCAATTCAATATATGTAAATGTCATGCTGATGCTTCTATTGCAAACAATTCAAACTTACGCTTTGGCGGACACAGCCCCTACTCTCATTCAAATAAGCCATCGAATAAGCAACATGCCATCACACAAACAGCATCCAAGACACAACCAAGTAAAAACTAGAGGGTGTTAGTAAACTTTTTACAAAAATATAGCGACCAAAGTAAGTAAGGAAAGAAGGTAACAGTACATAGCAGTTGCTGCTTCACAGCTAACATGCAGGGAGGACAATCCGGTTTCCCAGAGCCAGCACACCAGCTCCAGAAAGCGATACTCACAACTCTCTGGCTTCTATAGCGAACATCTAGCCTGGCATCACAACCTCTTAGTTCATTTTCAATTTCCAATGGGCATTATCATCAGGTGCAGACTGACAATTGGATGGACAAGAGTCGTGTCCCCAATTTGGAATAAGCTGATTTTTTGCTCAGTGGTTAGGGTTACGGTTAGGCTCCTGGCAATGAATTGAATTCTATGTAATGTCCCTAATAGTGACATGTGTGTGCAAGGGAGCTGTATGAGCAACTAAGCATTGTGTCTTCTTAACACAACTGTGTGTGCAGAGAGGGGAACCAGGCATTCCGGGAGACCATGGCTGCACTGGAGAACCATCCACGTGTCAGGGGTCTGTCCTTCACCTCCTTCCTAATCCTTCCTTTCCAGAGAATCACACGGCTCAAGCTGCTAGTACAAGTGAGTGTGCCAACATGAGTTCAAGTCCAGTAAAACGGCAGGACTCAGAAGTGTTTGATATAATATATATAACGTGTCGAAGTTGCAGTAATAAATATGTGTTTGGCAGACGCTTTTTGTTGTTTTTATTTGACTTTGTTTCTCTACACAGAATATCCTGAAAAAAGCTGAGGAAAACTCAGAGAGGGAAGCAAATGCTATAAAAGCACATCAGCAGCTGGAACAGGTGAGCATCAGTCAAGGGGCTGGGCCCAGGTCGGTGTAGACATAATGATATGACTCATTATGGTTCATGATTATTTACACACTGCGTTAATAATAATACACTTTATTTATGTAGCACTATTCTGAACAATGGTACAAGATGCTTTACAAAAGAAACATAACACCAGATGAGGCAGATAACAGAAAACAATAAAATGAGTAAGAACAAAATTAAATAGGAATAAAACCAGTACACATAAAAACACATATCAAATATTTCCAAAAGCTTTCACAAAAAGAAAAGATTTAAAAGACACTATAGAGAATTAGTGTGTCTGAGTTAATTATGCAGTTAGTTCTGTGGTGGGGGGAAACACACTGTGACCTGAAAGTAACCAGCAGGGCGCCTTATGCAGACCTCAGTGGTCAACAGGCCACATACAGGTCAATAAATCAGAAATGCATACAGGAGCAAGGCCGTTTAAGGCTTTAAAAGTGAGCAAAAAATCTATTTTAAATATTAATTAATGAATTTGTTACTTGTTTTGATAAAAAAAAAATTTACTACATTATATGCACAATGTTGTGTACTTGTTTATTTAATTTAGCTCGAGCCAGTTTGATTTTGTTGGCCCCTTTCAAAGTTCTAATTCCATGATCACTTTCTAAAGTTGTAAAACAAACAGCTATGCAGTGTTTTGGTGTTTGACAACCTTCCTCGTTTGTTTGTCATCTATCATCTATCTGAAGCAGTGCATCCCCACAAACTAAAACTAACTGATACAGGGTTGATTTCAGTCTGAAGGCATAGCAAAGCTTAATCATTCACTGTATTACTGCCAGACTACCAGCTGCCTGTGGGCAGTTCATAATTTTCTTACTCTGAATGGGTTGTATTGCTGCTTCTACGGGTTGCTGCCATTCAGGTTTAGAAATGGCTCATAAGGGTCTATCTAATTAGAATTATATTTCAGCAATAAATTAATTTGGAGGTCAGGTGTGATTGGTCTGTCCGGCCAGAGTTAATTTATAAGAACTTGTGCTCAGTTTTGGTTTTTGTCCAAGCACTGGCTCCACATAGCTTGCCATATTCAGTGTGTATTTACCCTGGAGGGTAAACTAATGGGACAGTTAAGAAAAGCAATCAGTGTCAAAATATTTATTTACAACTACTTGTGTCACAATCAAAGATTTACTGAGTCTGATGGTAATTTCCACAACTCAATTCTGTACAAAGAGTCAGTATTAGTTAGTATTAGTATTAGTTTGTATATGGCACTGTGCATTCACCTGCTGGCCCAGACGGACACTCATAATGATGACAATGAATATTACTGATATTTGCCATATCACGCATGTTTTATTATTACATGCATGATTTCTTTTTGTCATCTTATTTGCTGATTGGTTGATTCCACTGTTCATTTATTTGCATGCTTCTGGTTGTGGTGGATTACGTCGATCTCCACCATCAGATGCCTTTTGCACTTCATTTTGGATAATCTCAGATAACTCATTACATCAAGCCCCTGGCATGAATTACAAGTGCAGCTAGTGTTCCCTTGGAACTGAGTTCCAGGAAGTTAGCCTACTGAAATATGAAAATGCAACAAATGTGAAGTCTAAAATATGATTTTCTGCCAGATTCAGTTTTTTGGTTTATTATTAAAAACAAATATGCTAATACATTAATCTTCAATGAGAACAAAACATATGATATATTATATGATGTTCTAAGGTGTATATCTGTGTCTTCCTCAGATTGTAAAAGAGTGCAATGAAGGGGTGAGAAAAATGAGTCGCACTGAGGAGCTTATCAGCATTGAGAAAACACTGGAGTTTAAATCCAAGGTAAATTAAGTCTCTTCATTTTCAGCTGGATTGAAGTAATAAAGTTCTGTTTTCATGATTTCCAGGCTTTGTATACTACTACATACTGCATACTATTTTTGACATGTTTATTCTTCGTGTGCATCTATTCCTTAATATGGAGCCTTGCTATTGTGGCTGCAGTAAATTAAGAGAGGGTCAGGACAATCTGACATCAAGCAGTACAACAGTACAACATAAGGATTAAGGGGACCTTTTCAAACTATAGCTGTGTCCAAATTTGGAAACTATCCTCATCAAGTCTGGATTTTAAGACTAAATATGTCATAACTAAATAAGTCTGTCCGATTCCAAAGGTTTGAGAAATGAAGCTCTCTCTTTGCCATGCTTTGGACACGTTATTTATCCTTTGCAGCCATCCTTATTCATTTTTTCATTGATTGCCAGATGTAGAAGGCTAACCTTAGGCTATAAACAAACTAATTCAGTTTTTTGGAAATGTCCCTTGGCTGTTATAAATCGGAAATGACTGGGCAAGGCCAAACCCATTTGTTTGTAGAGTACCATTTTGAGTATCATAGAGTAGCATGGAATTTTTCCTGAAAATAGTGCCAATAGTGCTAGACTGGCAATCATGAAGATTCCTTGTCGTTTTCAGTTTTAACAGACTTTCAGAATTGACAGAATAATGAGATTATAAAAACCAACAGTACTCATCCTGAGGTTTATCATTGAGTTATGTTTGGCTCTTTGTGAAACTACTGTGCTTTATACCAATATATTTTAACGTCTTTTAACCCCTGTAGTCTGTGCCAATCATTTCCCACTCGCGCTGGTTGCTGAAGAAGGGTGAAGTGCAGCTAATGGCTGGGCCTAAGAGCACTAGGACCATGCGGAGTCGTAAGCTCTACCAACCAGTCTACTTGTTCCTTTTCAACAATCTGCTTCTGGTCACCAAGCGCAGCTCCAGGTAAGCACTTGGTAGAATCCTTACTGTGAATTCTTTGTGTTTGAACTCATTGCTTGTTTTGTCAGTCTGTTTACACTCAGCTGCCAGTTTATTAGATACACCTGACCTAATCAAAACTAATGCAGTGTAATATAGCAATATCCTACCTTCATAAAGGTTCTTAAGGTTCAGTTTTTGTTCAAATATATTTTATAGGGACTATAGAGACTTTATGATAATTATGGAATATGTAGTTTATGGTGCTGTGTAACTGTATTGCCTTAGAGAGCTGTTTCTGATATTTAGCCTTTCACCATGGATATCAATGGAGGGGACAAGATAATAGATACACCTATCAGTATAGCGCAATACAATTCAATAGCACCACAAACTACATCCTGCAAAATGACTACAATATGCAGTTGAATCAACAACTGTCAAATTTAGTTTAATTTATTTGCACAGTAATACAAATGGTTAAATAGGATTTTTCAAATTCAATCTTTCACAAGAGTTCCAAGGAATTTTGCATTAGATATTTGGAGAATTTCCATTCCATTAATGAACAGTTTGGCTTCTTCCTTGAAGAAGGATTTGCTTTTGTTGCAAAAGATCATCAAGTTGCATTTTTTTTTACATTAAGAGTGAGCTTGATAGATAGATAGATAGTAGAATAAGAAGATACGACAGATAGATTAGATATAGTTAGTAGATAGATAGTAGATATTTATTCATCCCCAGGGGAAATTCACAGTTTCCAGCAGTATCCCAAAACTGATAATAATAATAATATAATGATCAAAAATTGGGCAAATAAAAAAAAATTTATTTTTGGAAAAAACAAAACAAATATATATATAAATATATAAATAATAATATAATAACAGAGGGGTCCAATTAGAAGAAATTATAAGATAGAACTAATAGAATAAAGTAGAATAAATAGCCAAATAATGAAATATTGAATGAATTCAAATGAAAAATAGAACAAATTTAAAACAGTTTCAACAAAAACTCAACATTATAACCTTCACAAAGGTAAGATTTATGGCAGGAATGTTGCATTGTGACTGCAATTGTTTATAGTGGCAAGTGTATGTTTACTGAAAGCAGGAAATATTAATTCAGTCAACTTGTTATCAGCGGGGACAAGTTCCAGGTTCTTGACTCATGCACGCGGGCCATGCTGAGGACTGAAGATCTTGAAGACCAGGGTCAGCAACTGGCCAATGTCTTTAATCTTAAACTGCTGGAGAACCAAGAGGAGCGTCCAGTCAGCTACATGCTCAAGGCCGGCAGTATGTGAGTATTTGAAGCAGAACTAGCTTAGGATTCCACTGAGTTGTTGGGAATGAGATGTGGGTTAGGGGGTAATGACAGTTTGTTCAGGCCCAGTGAAAAGTTGAAAGGTGAAAGTTTCAGCAAATATAACAAAAAGTTATTTTCATAAAAGTTACCTACTGCAGCTTTAATGTACATAAATATAGTTGCTTGTTCTTTTAGCTCAGTGTTGTTGTTATTTGTAGTTTATTATGCAATGGTTTTACTGGTCGGCCCACTTGAGATCAAACAGGACTGTATGTGGTCCAGGAACTAAAATGAGTTTGATACCCGGGAAAGTAGTTTGCCCTATTGTAGAATTAAGAATAAAAAACTCAGGTTATAAAAAAATAATTTACATTTCACTGGTTACTAATCAATGGCATCGTGTGGACAGGAGTGATAAGCTTCGGTGGACGTGTGCTCTCACTCCTAACCGGCGCACACGCTTTATGTCTACCAGTGCCCACCAACCAGGTGAGTATCACACCAACACAGTCCTCAACATAGAGACGTGGAGATTTGAACTTAAACTGTCTGTGATGTTTATCAGACTCTCCACAGGTGCAGTGTATTCAGTCATACTCATCTCAGGAGCCAGATGAACTCTCCATTGAGATGGCTGATGTTTTGAACCTCCTGGAGAGAACAGACGATGGTTCGTAGAGGCACAAATTTGTTTTTATATCCCCTTTGTAGACCGTTACTCAAAAATGAATTATTTCCTATAATTTTCTCTTCATGTCTCCTCTCTTTCTGTGTCTTCTGTATTCCAGGCTGGATGATGGGTGAAAGGCTCCATGATGGCGAAAGGGGCTGGTTCCCTAGTCGAGTCGTAGAGGAGATCCAGAGCAAGGAGGTCCGAGCTCAGAACCTGAGAGAGGCCTTTAGGATCCAGCAGGCCCAGGAAGGTGGAGGAGGCCCGCAAACTGGAACCAGGGTTGGTTTAAGGCCGGGGAGACGTGTCCCGAAGGTCTCCAGTTTCTCCAATCCTTGGACTGATCAAATAGGGGAGAGCAGTGAAGTAAAGCAGTGAATTAGTAACAGTGACACATTCAAGTGTCACATTCAGGGCCATATGCACTAAGAGAAAAAGAATCAGGACTTAATTCCCATACTATGACATCCTGTCACTTTGATTTTCACTTAGCAGTGAATGTGTAGTGTTTTAGAAATCCTCAGTTTTGGTCTCTGGGACAAATTATTAAATAGTTAATAACCTTGTACAAGCAATGCTGCATGTCTCATATAAACGTGTGCAGAAGGTCTTTAGTAGACCCACACAATGTGGTGTGTAATGCATGGAGGTTTGGAGCTGTGTGTGGGGATGGCAAGAACCTTAAATGTTCTTGTACAGTTCTGTAACCATCCCTCAGTTGCATGGGCAAGTTTTAAAACTTTTCATGTGTTAATTTCATTGTTCAATACTAAATTATACCCTACACCCACAGCATAAACAGTTAAGTGTCTAATAAAATAAAACATTAAATAGTATTAGTATAAAAAAACACAAATGATTAAATGAATGAATAATATTCAAAGTGCGTCAGCTAAAGTGACATATGAGTATGAAACACTGACAATAGCCAGACCTGATTTCTGGCTATGAAAGTGTGAAAATCACATTTAAACACATTATGGAGAACAGCAGCAGTGGTCAGCTTGGCTTCACAGCAGTTACAACAATGACAAGTTTACACAGTGGCTACAAAAGTTTCAGGACATCCATAGAAATCAGCTGTGTAAATACTACTAATGTTATGTTGGGTTAGGGTTAAGCCTTTTTTGTGCCTAAAACTTACCAAACTGCAATCATTTCATATCTACAGTGTCATATTGTAGATATAAGTCAAACAGTATACCAAACATGACCCCAACGTACAACAATTAGTCGATTAATCAATTAGTTGTCAAGTATTAAATTATCTGCCAACTATGCTGATAATGAATTAGAATTTTTGTTCAAAATTCTCTGATTTCAGCTTCTCAAATGTAAGTATGACAGTAAACTGAATATCTTTCTTTATCTATTATATCTATCATTCAGGTCGAGTGGGTTTAATTACCACTTACCCCTGGAACGCTGGTGAGTTAGCTATCTAGTCAGTATAGCAACAGTGTTCTGCTTTCATACACTTGACTGTGTCCATGAACAGAGCTCTGTGCTGGTTTCACATCATTTAGATTAACAAATAAACTCAGACAGGAACTAAAAAAAACTACCTGAGGACAATCGTTCTCAACAAAAAGTCGCTCTGTGCATTCAATTGTCCATATCTCTATTTGCTATATATGTAATACTATGTAATATTGCATAGTATTACATTGAGATTGATAGCCATCAAAAAAGGCAAACCCTGAAAACACCACTGACAGAAATGGTTCTTTGCAGCATGCTCTGCTGTCCATCATTACATACCTTATGTTCTAAAAGGCCGGGTCAAATACAGCAGGTCCCACTTATTTAACACGCAGAACACCATGAAAACCATTCATTTTTGTGAGGAGTTGCAAAAATAAGATTATAATTATAATTATATTTATTTGTAGTTTAAAGTTCAGTTATTGTGCTAACTATTAATAAGTTACATTTAACCTTCCTATGTCTGCTCCTCTGCTGCATATTAGAAAAGCTTCATTTAGGTCTACATGCAAAATAACATTCCATAATCATCCAATAAACAAATACACAAATAAAAAGATGTATATAGTAATGTCATGTACTTTTAGTCTGATAAACTCCTCACTTATTTTTTGTGGTAAATAAAGGGATGAATAGTGTGGTATACCTGCAGAGCTACTTAGATTGAAAAGAAGATCTACTCCGTTTTTACCCTCCGATTGTCGAAAATTAAAACAGTCCTTATTTGTAGTAACTAAACTAACAGCTTTTTTCTACCTGCCATGAACCCAAACTGACCGCAGTTTCTGCTATCAAACTCCAAACTAGTTTCTACGCCTACAGTGTTTCATACCCAAAGGAATTTGACTATAAAACTGTTGAAGGAGTACAAACACACACACACAAGGGATAAATCCTGTAATAGCAATTTAATGCCAAATAACTGCAGTCTGTCGTAACTGTATAGAATGTAACACTATGAACAACTACTGTATGGATCAGCATGATTGTAAAGCCTGTGTGTCTTTAAATACAATGTACAGTAATGCAAACATTTGATGTTTAAACTAATAATTATAAACTGTTATTTCATTTTGTAAGATGTAAATTATTGTTCATAAAGCATTAATCAGAGATGTGCCTGACTTTTGCTATTACTTGCTATTTAGTTATTTTCTCTCCCACAAATTCAAGATGCACAGCCCTTTTAACGCCACAGTTGGAGGCAGGCATACATGTTATTCTGCCTCTCTCTCCATATTTGAACAATGCATCAGAGAGTGAGGGAGAATCACCTGTAGGAGACGTGGCTTTGTGGCTACATATTTTGTGTTGCGGTGGGTGTCAGCATACGTTATAGACCTCAGAGTCTGGCCTATTTCGTCACAGTTAGGGAGGGGCGAGAGGATTCAGCTGAACCAAACTTTCAAATCTGAGCAGAGACAAGCTCATTCTGTGCAGTTTTTATGAGGCATACTAGTACCAAAACAATATAAACTACTATTCCAAAACGAAACCAAAAAAACACCCATATTGCCTCCAAAACACACATTATTTCTTTTGTTGGGAAAATTACCTGTACTACCTTCATATGCCAACAAGACTTATTTATTTACAGCAAAAAAAACAGAAACAATATTGAGGAGTTCCCTTTTTAAAATTGTCACAAAAAGTTACTCTAATGTAAGTTGGGCACCGCACAGGGACAACATTCTCTATTAATGGGTGGATTTAAATTAAACCTATTGACAGCAGCTGTTTACAGTTTGAAATTTCAATATGATTAATTTATTAATCCAGGACATGTCCTTCAGTCCACATGGCAGGCAACAAAAAACGTAAGCCCCTTTGCAGCAGAGTTTCCTGTTCTTGTATTTCACACATTCAGCGTCAGTTGTAACAACAACTTGCGTGAGAGTTTACTGGTACCACAGAGTGAGCTTGCTGCTCACAGCTTTCTGTCTTCTGAATGTCAGTGAACACTGAACTTCAATTTAGAAACAGCAATTAAAGTGTGTTCGATATTGAACTCTGGACTTTTGTAGGTCGCATTGGAACTCCACAGATTCATTTGTTCATTATGTGGCTTACAGGTCCAGTGTGTAACATTTAGGAGGATCTATTTTCAGAAAAGGAATATATTATTCATATGTATGTTTTCATTAGTGTATCACATGGAAATAAGAATCATGTGTTTGTTACATTTGAATGAGCCACTTTTATCCACGGAAGCCGTGGGTTGCATTGCAGGTAGGTTGCCGTGTTTCTACAGTAGCAACGGGCAAACTAAACAATAGGGGCTTTTGCATTTTTTGCGAGTTTTGCAGCCATAGTAGTTTCTCCTACGTGCTCCACAGCCCGAGGTCATTCCCAGGTTGCCAAATACAAACATGAGCGGTGTTCAGTTAATCGTGATTTTATCCTGGTCCTTTACCCCTTGTCCTCGCCTGACTCCCTGAGTCCTAACCTGCGGCCCTTTGTTGTGTGTCATTCATTCTCTCTACCCCCACTTTCCTGTCACTCTAAAGTTGTTCTATCAAAATAAAGCCCCCCCCACAAAAATCACTTTACCCTTTGGTTTCTGACCTAAGACATGTGTTCATGCTTGTGCACGTGGAAGACAGAGGCAGAACAAACAAAACAAACACATTCTCAACCTCTTTTTTGGCTACAGCACATTTCTGCAGAGTGATGGTTAACACTGCAGCTTCAACACATCAACACATCAATACATTGCAGGACTAGTTGCAGATGTTCCTCCCAACACTGGCTAAAAAAAACACCATCATCATCCAAGAAGCTGAAAACTCTGACACATCTTTCAGAACATAGTTTATTAATCTCTGAAATGTAGCTGTTGCCCCCTGGAGGCCAAATGGCATCATTCTGAACAACTGCATAGCAAATGGAGTTTGAAAGTTTGACAACGCAACCTGCCAATAGTGTTTACTCAGGTCCAGGGTGGCGGTGTACTTTGCTCTCTCAATGCTCTCCACCAGGTCATCCATTCTGGGATGGGATGAAATTGAAAGGCAGAGTTTGGGTATCTAAAGTGAATGGAAAATCTTTCATGCACTGCTTAATACCTCAGTTAGACCCAGTTCAATTTGAGATTTTATTTCTTATTTCTTTGGCACCAACCGCTCAGGAACCTTGTAGCTCTTATGCCACACTGTGGCATCCTTCTTGAGCTAAATCTGCTGGATTAGGGTTGTGAAATCTGGCTACTCTCTGAAGAGCTCTGGGTCTCAAGAGGTACAACATCCTTTTGGCGGGGGGCCAACAGATGAGATAGACCTACTGGGCTGAACTCACTGGCAGAGGGAAACTAGGGAAAAGCTGGATAGAAAAGTGGTGCAGAACACAAAGGAAAAATCTAAATATATGCATTATTCTTTTTGATCCACACAACCAATAGATTGTTTTCACAGCACCCTTTTGACATGAAAAAGTAGGATAAACACAGGTGTTACTGTGTTTGTCTAGAAGTCTGGAAACAAGGAGAAGTTGAAGTCTGTGCAGAAGGAGCTGA